CTGTATTCAGGAAACTTCTTAGCTTTGGTTTAGTCCAGTTGTGCTGACTTCCCCTGTAGTGTGTGCTGTCCTTCCCTTCACCTAAGATAATTCTTATCTGTATCTAGTTCTCAGCAATTTCCTCATCCAAAAAATGGGCTGATACCTGCTGCACCATGCACGTTTTGGGGTGTCTCAAGTAATATGTTGTATGGGAAAATGCTTAAGAGTGAAGTAAATGCGACTTGCAATTATTAATAATGAGGAGGCTGGGAGGCTTCTGGGGCACGGGTGGTTGGGTTTAATGGCTAGGCAGGCCACTGCCCCCCTACCTTGGGATTTAGGCGAGTCAGGTCATGTCTTTTCTCTGAAAGGTTGAAGAGCTGCAAATAAAAGGGGGCTTTAGACGGACGGAAGCCCTGGTGGAGCAGTGGTTAAGCGCTTGGCTGCTAACCAAAAAGTCAGCAGTTCGAATCCACCAGCCCCCCCTGGAAACCCTATGGGACAGTTCTACTCTGTCCTATAGGGTCGCTATGAGTCGACTCGACAGCAGTGGGTTTCGTTTTAGACGGAAGAGACCTCAGGCAGCGAGGGACACCGCTGGGTGAAAGTGGTATCACTTCCAGGAAGTGGGCCTCTAAAATGTGGAGACTGCTGAGACCTGAGCTAGCTCTGGCATCCCAATAGCCTGTATTCCAGGATTCTGTAGTTGGCGGTGGCTCTGGCGCCCCGCCCCACCCCGCCCCCGCCCCTACCACTCGGGCTCCGCCCCTGGTGGGCTCGCCTCCGCTGGTTTGACGTCAGTGAGTAGCCTCGCCCATCTGGACCTCCCAGCCCTCTCATTGGTTGACTCCGGTAGGCCCCGCCCCTCACCAGGTATTTGTCGCGGTGCTTGGATTGCAGCACGTGAGCCAGCTCGCGCAAGTGGCCCCGGTGTCGCTGCTCGTCGGGCCGCGCGGGGAAGGCGGCGGCCAGGATCCGCTCTGTCACGTAGGTGAGATCCAAGTCCCAGCGCCTCTCCATGAGCGGGTCCAGACTGAAGCTCCTGGGGAGGGGGCAGAGCCTAGGTAAAGGGACGGAGGGGCGGTGCACCCGAAGGTGGCTAGTGTGATGGAGGGTGTCTGGCAGACTCCAGGTGAGGCCTGCTGGGTCCTGAGGGTGGGTGGACCAGAGGTTCCCGGGGAGCTCTGTTTGGGGGCTCTGCCCTGGGCTGAGGTGTGGGGTCGGCGGAAGGGATCCTGTGGCACTAGCCCAGACGACCTTACTTACCTGGGCAGAGTGCTGCGCTGCCTCGAGTGGTTCAGAGACTTGGTGGATCCCTGGTGGATGAGAAACCTTGTTTGGACATCTCTTTGGGTGCACTCCACTCCCGACTCTAGAATTCCATGCACTTTTGTCCCCAAAAGAAACCTAGGTCCTTACTCCCGAAGCTACCTGCTTCCGCCCCCGCCCACTACTACATCACCTTACCAGGTGCTCTATGCGCCTTACTGGGGCTGTGTTCCGCCGCTAGAGGGAGATGTGGGAGGAAAGGGAGTGGTTAGGGCAAGGGCCTGGGGATAGTGTGTGTTGTGGGTGGGGGGGCATGTCAGCATCCCTGTGAGGGCTCTAGTTGAGGGGAGGGGAGGAAAGTCCTGCTTAGTCCAGCAGGCCCCAGAGAACAGGATGAGGAGAGGGCTCAGACATCTTTTTTCCTCCCCCTTAGGATGACCTATACCTACTATAGTCAGTTCAAGGTTACCTCCTGGGAGCCCTCTCCAGGGCCACCAGACCTCTGACCACCTCAGCCAGGTCCCTTGCCTCCCTTACCCCATCCCAGGGCACACTTACCAGCTCTGCCGGAGGCAAGGCCTGACAGGATGAAGTCACCTGGAGGAAGACCTGAGTGAGGGGCTGAGCTCCGGGTGAAATGGGCTCTCCTGGGCTTGCGGATGGGGCCACCCTTCAGCTTCAGCAAGAAGGTGGAGGGGCTGCCAGCAGATGGGCTCCAACTGAGGTTCCTCTATTTAAGGGAGCCTCCCCTCTGGCCTCTCAGTCCCCCACCCCTGGGCCCCCCACTTGTTGCTCTTGGCTCCCAGCCCCCTGCCCACACAGACCCCCATTCATCCAGCTGCAGGGCAGGAGTTATATATAGAGCCATCCAAGCAGGCCATGGCCAGGGAGGGACACTGGCCTCTTTCACCGGGAGACCCCGCCCCTGGGCACAGAGCTCCCTCAAGCCAGCTCCAAGGCCCTGGGACCACTTGTACTATAGGAGGACCACGGAACCTCCTCAGAGAGGGGCTGTCTCGGGTTCCCAATGGGCAGGGGTGCTATCTAGGGCTTGTACCTTCTGCCCAACCTTTCCAGGGTGCAGGACAAGACCTCCCAGGCATCCTTAGGACCCTTCTCCAGAGGGAAGACACAGCCCATCCGGCTGCCCAGTCTCTGAAATGCTGCTCCCCACCCACCCACCGCACCCTTCCTCCTACTCCTACCCTCCTCCTCCCCACCCCCCATCCTCTCACCAGCTGCAGCCTGGGCACAGCACCAAGACAAACGCTGTCTCGCTGTCCACCCGCCAGGGGCCAGCCCGCCAGGGGGTGGAATAGGATGGTTCTTAAAGGGCCCAGTACAGCATCCCCTCCTCCCCAGCAGGGGTTCCCCACTGATGACAGAGACGGAGGTGGAGGGTCAATGCCAGTGTAGCTAGAGAAGCCCCCTTGGGAGGAGGGAAGGGATCCTAGTCTCCCTCTTCCATCAGGTGGAACCAGGTACCCACCTTTGCTTCACATTTTCTGTGTGTTGCCACCTTGCAGACTGGAGGGGGACAGGAGAGGAAGAGGTGTTAGCAGGAGCTTCTTGGGGCAGTAGGAGGGCTAGGCCTCCCCCATCTCCCCTTGCCCTGAAATCCAGACCCTGGGACTTCAGGACTCCAGCTGTACTACGCTGGATGGGTGGGCAGGAGGGGCAGAGTTTGAGGGAAGAGCGTGGCAGTGGAGTACTCGCCAGGCTAGGGAGGGAGGGAGCCAGGAGTAATGTCTTGTGTGTTGGGTTAGGGTGAGGAGGCAGAGAGGGAGGAAGTCACCAAGTCACAGGTCAGGTGGGAAGGTGGTGAGGAAAATTGAGTCTCCTGGCTTGCCGGGGTGTTTGTCATGGGGAGCAAGGGCCGCTTGAAGTGGGGGCAGCTGTTTCTTGGCTACCATGTTGCCTAATCCAGAGGCATCATTCACGTCACATTGTATGTGGTATGAATCTGCCCCCTGGAGTTGTGCAATACAGTGGCAATGGGTAGAGGGTCTCCAAGTCACAGGACAGGGCTCCTCACCTCTGCACGAGACACCTGTCCCATCGATGGTCACCTTACACACTGCACAGACCGGCGGTTTCTTCCGGAAAACCTTCTCCCGGAAGCTATGTGGCTCAGCTTTCCTAGGCTGGGGGTGGAGGGACAGACAGAAGTGTCAGTTCCCAGAGGGTTCATCTCCAGGATCAGGCAGGGGCCTTAACAGCACGCTGGTTTCCTCCTTCCTCCATCCCAATAAAGCCCCCAGACTCATGGTCTACCACCCCATCCTACCCAAGACTCACTCGGCGACAGCTGCTCCAGGGGAGTGGTGGAGCCTGTCCTACACAGTGCATGGAATCTGACCCCTTGCATCACCCTAAGCTGGGTCAACTCCTCCCCAAGGGGTCACTTAGGCCCCTTATGTGGCTTTGGTGTATGATGCCCTTAGTGGGTGTGCTCTCAGACTCTCCTCCATGAGGGCCCTCTGTTTCTCCCCTATCTTGCCATCTCCAGTGGAGAGTGGGCGGGGAGGGGGGCCCAGACATGTCATGTGTAACATGTCACAAAGCAGCCAGACTGATCCAGCAGGAGTGGCCTCAGCCAGTCCGGCTCCCCTGGCTCCCGTTGTCCGCATGCTCCAGGCAGCTGACATGCCCCCCTCCCTTCCCTGTCAGAACAACATGTTTACTCTTTGTGGGTTGAGGCAGCAAGCAGCAATTGTGTAAGGGGGGTAATGCTGGAAGGAGAGGCATGACATAGGGGAGAAGTGTTTCGCTGCTTTGCTGCCAGTGGATACAGTCTCTTGAGGAGGTTCAAGCGGGATTCAAGCAGCCAGTGGTGGAGGGGGTAGACCAGATGTCCTTTTCAGCCCTTCCTCACCCAGAAATGCAGTGGACAGGAGGCTGGGATGCCGCCCTCCCTCACCCCGCCATGGTCCAGGTCTATCTCACTCCCATCCTCTTCCATTATGGGTTCGCTCTTCCCATCCTCTGAGGACAAGTTGCCTCCTCTCTCTTCCACCCATTTTTCTCCTTTTCTGGAGTTAAAGCTCCTGCCCCTCTCCCCTTCTGCCCCCCACCCCAGTTGTCTCATGCTGCCCTGAGCTTCTTCTGGGGTAAGGCCAAGAATTTCGAGAAAGGGAGTGAAGGGGTCTCCAGGCCCCCCAGCCCGGGGACCCAGGCAGCATCTCTGGTCTCTTGGCTTTCCCTGGAGCAGCTGGATTTAACCCAACCTGGAACCCTTCTGGGCTGCACCAATCTTGCTGGACCCACTAGGAAACTTGGGTGCATTTTCACATTCACAGTGTATGCGGATGATGTCAGTGGGAAGCCAGCCTCCAGTTTCTAACGCACGCCTAAGACCCGGCCTCTTTTTTCTTGACCACCCCCCACCCCATTTCCCCCAAACACTCCAGGTCAGGGAAGGGGCCTGATTTCTTGGCCTTGCTTTAGGGCTCCAGGATGGTACTGGGCAAAGTCCTGCAATGAAGTACCTGGGGTGCAGATTTGGGGGGCTGGGATCCCCAGAGTTGGCCCAGGCTAGGGCAGGGAGGTGACAGAGGAGACACATCAGACACCAGGATCTGCTCCAACCCTGCTGCTCATGCTGCGGCCCCACCACCCCAAAAGGGCAGAGTAATGAGGGAATGCAGGGCAAGGAGAGAAGCCTGAGGAAACTGAAATTGGAAGAGGGTCTGGCCTGAGCCCTGTCTCCCTCCCCCACTGCCCACACCCCCATCCCCGCCCCTCCTCTGCCCCAGCTGGGGGCACTCCTACCCTGCTGGTGGCCCGGCTGCTGTCCCTCCTCCCCAGGGCTCTGAGCAGCCTCTCCATGGGGCCGCTGGACTTCATGGTGTCTGGCTGGCCTGGGTGCTGGCCGAGAGGCCTGAACAATGCTGGGGCCTGGCCGGGGCTTCCTGGAAGTGGCCTGGCTGAGGCAGCGGCTTCCCCTGGGCGGAGGGGAGGCTGTCTGGCTGCTTTGAGGAGAAGCCCGGCCCTGGAAGTGGAGGGGAGTGCAGGCGGGAAGGGGGCAGGTCGCTGCTCCAGGAAGTGTGGGGCGGGGGGAGGATGTGGGGGAGGCCAGGAGATCAGATTCCCAGGATCTATCCTGCTGGGAGTGTCAGCCCAGGATCCTTTGGGCCCCCTGGCTCTGGAGCTACTGGGCCTCCTGTGGGGTATTCCAGGGATCCACCCTGTCCAGGGATCTGCAGGGATCCAGGGTCCTGAGATCCATCTCCAGTGGGGCAGGGTGGGTGCAGGGTGGGAATTTAGGTCTCAGGGCAGGGCTCGAGGACCAGTGGGGAACACTGTGTCCCCGCCAACCTCCCAGCCTGGACTCTGAGGCCCTCTCGGGACTTCCGGTGGGGAGGAGGGGCTGGGAACCACTGTCCTGGCCTGCCCAGGATCTGGAGTGCATCCTGAGGCTCCTTAAAAAAAAAAAAAACAGTTGCCCTCGAGTTGATTCCGACTCATAGTGACTCTATAGGACAGAGTAGAACTGCCCCATAGTTTCCAAGGAGTGCCTGGTGGATTTGAACTGCTGACCCTTTAGCTAGCAGCCCTAGCACTTAACCACAATGCCACTGGAGTTTCCGGAGGCTCCTCAGGTCAGGGAAAATGTGGTTGCAGGCCAGCTTCCTGCCTCAGTTTCCCTGGTTGTAAAGTAGGAAAAGGAAGACATGCACTGCCCACCCGCCACGCCACACACACTGCCAGGCCAAGTTCCAGCTTGAAGACTGCTCTGCCCACAGGAGTGCTCCATTCTTCTGTCACAACCCCAGGCATTTGAGCCCCTTCTCCTGACAGCCCACCAGCTGCTCTGCTTGGGACACAGTCCCCCAGTCACCTACCCCTGGCTGTTTCATGCCCACCTCACAGAACCCTAACCTGTCCTTTGAGCCCTGCATCTTAGGCCTTCCATCCCCGGTGGTTCCAGGCCCCCAGTGCCAGGCCCTCTCTCCACTGTGCCCCCAAAGCCTGAGTACTACCTTCATGGCTCTCCTAGCTCTGTTCTCCTTCCTTAGTGGCTGTCCCAGGGCTTGAGGACTGGACAGGTGGCCCCCCTCCCCCCTCAATGGGCCTCCTGCCTCCCTCCTGGGAACATGGCCAACTTCCTGTCCCGGGAGTCAGGGCAGGGGGTGGATGAGGCCTTGGGAAGGGGAGAATAATCTTCCAAATACGCAAGGGGTTAATGGCCTGGGGGTCATCAGCCCCAAGCCTTGGACAGCAGCTGCTCAGACTGGCAGGAGCTGTCATTTGAAAGAATGTGTAAATGTGCTCCCCTCACCCCCTTATTTGCATGGTATTTACTGAATGTCCCAGAGCTCTGGCAACTCCCAACTCCCTCAGCTCTGGCTTCTCCCACTGGGTCCCTTCCTGCTAACCTCCCCCTCCCTCATAACCATCTGGACTGGTCCAATCCTGTGGTCTCTGGGATGAGCCCCAGGCTGGCAGCCCACCCAGGACATTTCCGTGGGCCTGCCTGGCCTGGGCCTACCCTGAGGCCTTTCCCTCGAAGCTCCAGTCCTCTAGCCCGGGAAGTCTCCCCAGGGTACCTTGGCCAGTGGGTGGCATCTGTGTAGCAAGGCATAGGTCCCCAGCCTGTAACTGAAGACGGGCACTGGCTCTGCAACCTACCCCCACCCTCCCAGCCCTGGCTGGGTTCCAGGACATTCCAGGCCCCTGGCCAATGTGGGCAACTGGACCTGGCCTGGTCCAGCACCCAGTCCTGTTCCAGGGAGGAGCACTGTGGTGGGGGGCTTTCCTCTGCCTAGTTCCCTCCTTGCACATAACTGAGCAGGACCCCTTTAGCATGTTTGTGTTCCTACTGCCTTGAGATGGGCTGGATAGTTCCCTTGCCTGGCAGGCCCTCTCACCTGGGACAGGTCCCCAAACATCCTCTGACCCTCACTGGTCTCAGACATTCCTCACCCAGGCCCAACAAGGTGTCCAGGCAGTGACTGAAGCTGACTAACCCCTGTGTTGGTTGACCAGGGCCAGGACTAGCATGGCTTTGAGTGCATGCCCACCCTGTGGAGCATCTGAGGGAAGAAGACGGGGACAGAAAAGTGCTGGTCTCTTAGTGTGTGTCTGAGGGGAAAAGAAGCTCACTGGAACAGGGCTGGGAAGGTATTACCAGACCTATAGGACCCGCACTTTCCACAAGCCTGGAACATTCCAAAGCCTGTCAGCAGCTCCCCAAGCCTGGCCCCGTCTCACTTAGAAGCCTTGGGTTTGTTTGGAGAAACCCCCTCCACCCACACACCCCACTTCCTGGAAATAGCTGTGGTTGGATGAGAGGCTGGGAGCCCAGGCCTAGCTGAGAAGGAGGGGTGAGGCCCACGAAAGGAGAGTGAGGGAAGGCAGGGTGTGCCCAGAGGGAGATGGAGAATTGAAGGTAGAAACAGAACGGGGCAGATGAGTGAAGTGGGGCTGGAAAGTTGGATCGGCCCCATTTGTGCTTGCTTTCTGCCTCAGTTTCCCAAGATGTAAAGCAGAAGAGCAAAAGACTCTCATGCACTCTCCCCTGGGCCGCAGCCCAAGTGCTGCTTCCAGCTTTTGCCCAGGTTCCGGGCCTGTGAGTGTAGAGGCAATGTGCGCCCCCGCGCTGGAGAAGCCGCGCCTCGTGTGGAGGGCGCGCGCGCGCGCGAAAGCGTGGCGGGAGAATGCCGCGCCGGAGCGGGCAGTGTGTGCGCCCGGGACAAGAAAGTTTGACGGCCCGACGGCCCGGAGAGTGCGACCGCAGGCCGTGCCCTGCCCCCTGATCACTTTCCTAGCCGTCAACTGCCCCCAGGTCGCCAAGGCCCGCCCCGACCCCCAGACCTGGGACGCCCACCCCTTTCCGCGCGCCCCCTGGCGTCCGCCCCCGGCACTGCCCTCTCGGCTGTGACGCAGAGGCCGCCGCCCTTCGGCCTAGCGCGGCTCGGCCACTCACCTGC